GTGTATTCGATTCATCAATTTAATGGACTTCATTGTAGAGACTGAACATTGGGTCACGTTAAATGATGACTTCATTATCTCCCCTCCCCTGGCGTGATATTCCCCCGACCACAATCCTCCCTACAATCCCCCCACTCCCTTCACTTACGTGATATTCCCCCCTCCCCCACTTTCCACCCTGCCGTGATATTCCCCCACTCTCCTCCCTACCGTGATATTCCCCCCTCCTCTGTTTTTNGTTAACATTAATGGTAACTGGTCGGGTTGTTAACATCCGTGATATCTGATCGGAATGTTAACATTAATGGTAACTGGTCGGGTTGTTAACATCCGTGATATCTGATCGGAATGTTAACATTAATGGTAACTGGTCGGGTTGTTAACATCCGTGATATCTGATCGGAATGTTAACATTAATGGTAACTGGTCGGGTTGTTAACATCCGTGATATCTGATCGGAATGTTAACATTAATGGTAACTGGTCGGGTTGTTAACATCCGTGATATCTGATCGGAATGTTAACATTAATGGTAACTGGTCGGGTTGTTAACATCCGTGATATCTGATCGGAATGTTAACATTAATGGTAACTGGTCGGGTTGTTAACATCCGTGATATCTGATCGGAATGTTAACATTAATGGTAACTGGTCGGGTTGTTAACATCCGTGATATCTGATCGGAATGTTAACATTAATGGTAACTGGTCGGGTTGTTAACATCCGTGATATCTGATCGGAATGTTAACATTAATGGTAACTGGTCGGGTTGTTAACATCCGTGATATCTGGTTGGGATGTTAACATCTATGATATCTTGTTGTTATGCTATGACTTAACGTAAAACGTACAGGCATGGATGATATGGGGAAACTGTGCCAGAGATGGAAGATGAAGAGACAGCGAATGTGAGAGCTGGGAGGGAAGGGGGGGGCGTGGATCATTGGGGTATGGGCAAAGGGACGATTATAGATATTGATTTTTGTCCCAGTCAAAAGCCGACCAAGGCTAAATTCCATTAAGGCTTCTTTGCCTGCATAGAGAAATTAAGGTCAAGCCACCCTCCTCACTCTCTCATCTCAACGCAGGCAACAGTCTACTGTTATGTTATATACAGAAGAGTTTTTAACCTCAAGCTTTGACAACTGCCATTATCCAGCCATTCACAGATCCATCTTTTTTTCTATCAACAGCAGTCTAAATCTCATCCACACATCGATCCATATTCATCTAAAAATGTCTACATATCAGCCACACATCCATCCATCTCGCGTTGACAACTGTCTTCCTCTCATCCACGCATCCATCCGTCTCTCCCATTGACAGATGTCTTCATCTCATCCCCGCATCCATCCATCTTTATGGACAAATGTCTGGACCTCATCCACCCGTCTCCCATTGACAAATGTCTTCATTTTATCTACACACCCATCCATCCCTTATTGACAACTGTCTTCATCTCATCCACACATCCATCCATCTTTATTGACAAATGTCTTCATCTCATCCACCCGTCTCCCATTGACAAATGTCTTCATTTTATCCACACACCCATCCATCCCTTATTGACAACTGTCTTCATCTCATCCACCCATCCATCCATCTCCCATTGACAAAGATTTTTTTTTTTTAATGGCAACAGTGATTCTATTTGAAGTTATTGACACTATAATTTCAACATTTCTTACATGAGATTTCCAACGTGTTATCGTAGTTTTCGCAGAACTAATTAAAATCCAACCGGGTGTGTTGTATTCGTCAGCATGACACATTATTAAGTCTATGTCTTGGGGACGTTGCCAGTTCTTCCTTAAGGCTTTCAGGCTTGTGAAAATTTCAATCCTATTCCTTTGTTTCATTTGCCAGGAAATCATCAAGCCAGATGGCACCCCGCTTATTGAGAGCATTCGCGTGCCCACCATTAGCAAGGCATCTATCTACCATGAGGTAAGTGCCTAGTGGTGTGTCACTGCTATCTACACTTTTACCATCATTGGCAACGCATCTATCTACCATGAGGTAAGTGCCTAGTGGTGTATCACTGGTATCTACACTGTGCCCACCAATGGCAAGGCATCTATCTACCATGATGTAAGTGCCTAGTGGTGTATCACTGGTATCTACACTGTGCCCACCAATGGCAAGGCATCTATCTACCATGATGTAAGTGCCTAGTGGTGTATCACTGCTATCTACACTGTGCCCACCAATGGCAAGGCATCTATCTACCATGATGTAAGTGCCTAGTGGTGTATCACTGCTATCTACACTGTGCCCACCAATGGCAAGGCATGTATCTACCATGAGGTAAGTGCCTAGTGGTGTATCACTGGTATCTACACTGAGCCCACCATTGGCAAGGCATCTATTTATCTACCACGAAGTTAGTGCCTAGTGGTATTACACTGATGTCTACACTGAGCCCACCATTGGCAAGGCATCTATTTATCTACCACGAAGTTAGTGCCTAGTGGTATAACACTGATGTCTACACCAAGACATGTTCGTAATCCGGAAATTTGTTTTTAAAAAAATTCGTCGACGTAAAATTATCGAGGGACATTTGATTGCCCGGAAATGTGGTCGAATCTATTTTTCGTTCACATTATTTTGTTTTAAACCTAGTGCGTTCAAAAAGAAATTTGTAGAAAATTTTAACGTGCCCTGGGCGGCACTTTTTCCTTCATTTGGAGGGGCGTAAGCTGTCTGTCAACTTTATTGCTTTTGACTTGAAAAAGGGGGGGGGGCAGTAAAGGTCTTGGTCCCGCCCAGCCTGCACTAGCCCTAGCTAAGCGATTGCTCCAGGGTGTAAAAGAGCTTTTAGCAATCATTATGATTTCCATAAATGTATTTAGAGCAACAAGTACTTTAAAAAAAAAAAAAGAAGTAAAAAGTTGTATCAATGCACCATATCCAACATGCATCTTTTATGTATGGGTAACTCTACCGTCAAAATGCATCTAATTTTACTCTATAGACTTGTATTTTAAGTGTGCTTTGTTTCATATCTATAAACATAGCAGCGAAATGTCATTATGAGACTTAGCAGTGCTTCTCACAATGGAAGTTTTTGAGGTTGCATACATTAATAATACGAGCCCATTGGACGACGACTGGCGGAACTTACCGCGGCAAAGAGGAAAAAAAATAATTCAATAGCACACCCCTAAAATGTTGTTTTTTACCCCATGTGTTCACTTTCTCCCCATGTGTTCACTTTCTCCCCATGTGTTCACTTTCTCCCCATGTGTTCACTTTCTCCCCATGTGTTCACTTTCTCCCCATGTGTTCACTTTCTCCCCATGTGTTCACTTTCTCCCCATGTGTTCACTTTCTCCCCATGTGTTCACTTTCTCCCCATGTGTTCACTTTCTCC